TGATGTGTTATTTTTGAAAATGCATTTTCGAAAATTTATAACATATAATTTTGGAAACACTAAAAATATGGAAAATTAATGTTTATTTAAATAAAATTCTAAAAATTAAAAATCCAAAAATAATGATAATCCTAACAAATAAAAAAATAAAAATTTGGAAAGAATAGAATCTAAAATTCTAGAAAAATAATTTCTAAGAGCATGAAATTCTTAAAAAAAAAAATCTGAAAAAAATTATAAAAACTAAATAATTATTTACATAAAAATTCTAAAAAAAATATTTAAATGAACTTAAATAAAAATATTCTCAGCAAAGTCATTACTTTTTATTTCCTACATATTGCCTACTCAATTTATTATTATTTTACTTTTCTGTAGCCAAAAAAAATATTGTAAAATACACAAACTTTAATATGTAAATATTACTTGATAATATGTAACATATAAATGTTCTATTGTACTAAATAATCAAATTTCGTGAAATACAATTTTTTAAAAATTTTAACCAAATGTGTTCTCTGCTTTTCTGCTTTGAGAAATAGTTTTTTAAAATAACAAATCAAAAGCCTTTTTAAGAATTTTAAAACAAATCCTCAAAAGAGAAATATAAAAATGAACTCAAAACTTAAAACTGAAACACAAACAAAACTGGTCCTTAACTTTTGTGGGCAAATAAGTAAGCATAAGAAAATCAAGGCTTCTCATTGTGTTTGGGCATCCTTGATAATACTCCCTTCGTTCCATTTATATAGGTTTAGTTTTTTTTTTTTGTTGTCTCAAGTATATAGTTCTGTTTCTTAATTTAGAATATTTTGTCTTGTTTCTTTACTAATATACCCTTATTTAATTTGCCTAGTTACAATCAATTTGTTTCCACTTAATTTGCCTCCTTCTTGAAATCAATTTTCAAATTCTTTACTAATTCCAACAATAATTTACTACTAGTTGTTGAAAATTGAATAGGGTTACAACTAGGAAATTAATAATATTAAATAAAATTTTTTAATCTGTGTGAAAAACAAAACAAACCTACATAAATGGAACGGAGAAAGTATAAATTAGTGACAAGACTTAATGCTGGTGCACTGTTGAATTTCTAACGAATAAAATTGTCATAAGGTTCAAATTAGACAATAAATTGCCATGTTATTTTTCCCATAACTTGGATATAATAGCGGTTTCTTTGATCAAGAACTACTCACACTCCAAACATTGATAAAAATAACTAAATTGTGCTACAATTTTATCACTAGTTATGTTTAAAATGAAAGTAGAATGGATTCCTATTTAATTCAGAATTACACTAAAACTCAATGACACACATTTACTATCAACATGTTTTCCTTTCCGTGTTAAGAGATAAAAATTTCACACCGGTTAAATACTGAAATATTGACCAACTTAAAAAGGTCATTGGCTACTCTTCTTAATAAAGTTGACCTTATTAAGATGGATCTTAATTCTTAATATGATATCAGAGCTCATTAAGTTTCAATAAGCGATTCGATCCTGTTAAGACACAATAAATGAGTATACGGATTTCAAGATTGGTCGGCTCAAACGAGCCACCATCTTACGGGAGCATGTTAAGGGATAAAAATTTCACATCGATTAAATATCAAAATATTGACCAACTTAAAAAGATTTTGTGCTACTCCTTTTAATAAGATTGATCTTATTAAGATAGACTCCAAATCTTAACATTCTGTGTTAACCAATGTCCCTCATTTTACCTACATTTGAAATGCTTACCACCATTAATGAGGTTTTGAAAACTAATGTAATTGAATATCTAATGAAGATTCTTACTATGGTACTCGGACATGGAATTTAAGAGTTTAATAATGAGATGGTGATGTCTTTTGATATAAGGTCACAGCCTATCTTTAATATTTTCTGCAGTGAATGCATTGCGAAACATCCAAAGAAGTTTGACAGACCCAAATCGGAATCTTCACAATTGGAACAGGGGAGATCCATGTAATTCAAAATGGACAGGGGTTTATTGCCATGACAGGACAATGGATGATGGTTATCTTCATGTCAAAGAATTGTATGATTTTAGTCCTTCCCCCTCCTTTTTTTTACTGGATCATAATTTGCAGATATTAAGTACGTTAAATGTACAATGTACTTTTATTGCTTCCAAATTATTAAAATTGTATAACTGCGCATTTCTGTTCTTATCTGATTCTGTATCACTTGGTGTCAAAATTCATCTTCATAAGTAAAAGACTATCTTTAGGGATACAATTTAGTAGGCCGACTTTTTCCTTTGGGGTCGTGTTCATGAGATCAACAGGTTACCATGAATTGGTCCTGAAAAGGGATGTTAATGTGATAAAAGTAACCTTTCTATCGTCTAAAAAGTTCGATGAAAATATATAGACTTCTGTGATATGGGAACTGTACATGTAAAGAATAGTTTGTTGCGGAAGCTCTCTATGAGAGTGCCTAGATTTACCACAGCTGTAACACCGTCTACCACTAGACTTGTCCCGCCTTTGCCCTTCTTCTTATTACTCTCATCACTCGAGTCACTACTTGAATCACTACCGTCTTGAATTCTACTGAAATTCATTTGCTTGAACTTCATCATATTCCTCATCAAACGTAACTCACCACTCCTCTTATCCTCTTTTTTAGCCTTAATTTCCATCTACTTACTCCTAAGTGAGTCTAAGACAATCTCGAGTGTTAAGGTGTCCCTATCGTACTTAATTGCATTTTTAACCTCTTTATAAGAATCGGACATGGAATTTGGCAGGTTAACAGCCTTATATGTTTTAGAGACATTTTCATCACAATTAACGATATTTTGAACTAACTTGTTAAAGACATCCAGATTGTCGTCAAAATCCTTTGAAAGATCCATTTTAAAGTTAAAAAATCGTTCAAACAAGTACAATTTATTTAGAGCGGATTTAAGCAAATCTAAGTCCTCCAACTTTTTCCAAAGTTCTTTAGTAGAATCAAGTTTTCCTAGTTTTTTCAAAACAGTATCAGATAGGTGTAACATAATTGAAGTGTACGCAAGTTCATCATACACTTCTTTTTGTGCTTCTATTAAGTTTCCAGGAAATTTGTCATCTATGGCTTATGAATTTTTTTGTTGGGCCAAAATATCCTTAATCTTTTGTTGTCAAATTGAAAAAAATCCCTTTCCCATTAAAATGTTGGAGAAGCTCTCTCTAAGAATCTTCAAATCGAAGGTTTTTGGGGCTCAGTTCAACGTACCTTTTTCTACCAACAACCAATTCAACCGGCTTCGATCCACAACCAATATTATTCACCTCGATTGCTATTCAATCTTACCACGTAAGACAAGAAACGGTGATGATTTGTGGCCACGAAGATTAGGAGAAAATACCACAAAGGTAGGCTATGAAGGAACAATTAATTACACTAAGTAAACAAGTATTTTGGATACTTCTAGGGGCTGTTTTTCACACACCAAAGGGGGCAGCCGAATTTCTCTTTTTCTCACACAAAAACGACCCAAATCATACTAGAAAGTGATTAGGGTTATAGCCTTATATATACTCTAGGGTTAGGTTTTAAGTTGGACGTCTAAGAAACTTAAACAGGTCAAGATTCAAGTCATTCAAGAGGGAATACAATTGGGACAGGTGGAGCTCGTGGACTTGATTGTTGGACTTGTTTCATTCGTCGGCCTATGCCTGTGAAATAATAAACCCACGTTAACATCATAGCATGTGATTTATTAGGTATCAGAAAAACCCAACACAGTTCAAATTTACCTGAGTGAGATTCCAAGGAAGATGCTTAATAGTTTTAGATTGTGGATATGCCAGACTTTCTTTGGAAACATTTTACAAAATCTGTATGTTGCTAACCGTATAATTAGTAACTGAGCAATACTGTCTTCCTTTTTGTTTTCACCAACAGGTTCCTACTAAATAGGAATCTATCAGGAAGCTTATCTCCACAACTTGGACAGTTATCTTATTTGGAGATACTGTAAGTTAGATATTTAATACACACCTCTTTTTTATTTGTGCTTATTTATTTTCCTCAGAATGTTACCTCCAAAATTTTCTCTACCTATCTGTGTTGCCTTCCCTTTTAAATTAATTATTTTTTATTGTTCTCAGAGGGACTTTATGTGGAACAAAATTACTGGGAGTATACCTAAGGAGATAGGCAACATTACGACGTTACAATTGTTGTAAGTTGAAGCAGTTCTTTACTCGATTATCCTTTTCACAGTTCCTTTCTCTTCTACTTTGCTTAATTTTTGACTAAATGCTCATTGAAGTAGGGGAAACCTTATAAATCCTCCTAAGCATTCCATTATATTATTTGCTAATTCTCGACAGAGGCTTCACCATGATCTGAACCATTATGTTTTTACTTGTGCTTTCCTTTCTTTGGTTCCAGGCTTCTGAATGGAAATCAATTGACAGGTTCCTTGCCCGATGAGATTGGTTTTCTTCCTATTTTGAACAGGATACAAATTGACGAGAACAAAATATCTGGATCTATACCCACATCATTTGCTAACTTAAGCAATGCAAAGCACTTGTAAACATTCTTCATTATTTCTAGGCATTTCTGTTTCTTCTTTTTTTTTTTTTTTTTAAAGAAACTGTTTCCGAGGTATAGGGACCTATTCTGTTGCTGCCTCTTCGACGTTGTTAATGCATTTCCTTCTAATTGTTCTTACTTGAACAGCCACATGAACAATAATTCACTTAGTGGGCAAATACCACCACAGTTGTCCAGACTTCCAGAGCTTGTTCACTTGTGAGTTAAAGATATGAAACCTTTAAACCTTACCCTGCTTCTTGAACATCTGATTTCAGTTGATAAACTGAAACCTTGCAGGATACTTGACAATAACAACTTATCGGGATCTCTTCCGCCAGAGCTTTCTGAAATGCCAAAATTGCAGATACTGTATGCATTCTTTCTTTATTAGATGTATTACTTTGGTTATTCCATAATGCAGGGATTTTTCTGTATCAGCCAGCATGTTTTAGAATTTTTTTTTTTTTTTTTTTAATGCTTGCCTTATTAATTTGCTATTGATCAATGCTATGAGTTTAGAACTAAAAGCAACTCCATTTTTCTTAGCAAATGAAAAACCTTTGAATCCGAAATGAACCTCTAAACGAAGTCTGAAGTGGAAAAAAAATGAATGGTAGTATGTGTTTGAAGTCTTAAATAGCTATTAATAAGTAGTATATCACTCTTGAAGACTTCACTGGAATCATAATAGAACCTATCGGAGCCATGACTTTGTGTCTGTCCAGCGGGTATCTTATTTCATCCTAGTTTTGCATTCATTATCATCTTTTAATTTCAGTTTATTTTACAGTCTAAAATTAATCAGCTTTGACCATCCATTTGCAAGTGATAAAAAATTGAACATTCAAATCTGATTGAAACAAATTCAATCACTGTGATAATTAGACACATTATGGTTGGAAAAAATGACATTCTCTTACAACTCATTGAAACAAATTCAATCGTTGTGATGGTTAGGTATTACTTTTTCTTACTTTATCTCTACTTAGCTACATGTTCTATTTCTTTGTTTTTCAGTCAACTAGATAATAACAACTTTGCTGGGAGTGAAATACCTTCTGCGTATAGCAACATGTCTCGTCTGTTGAAAATGTAAGTGCATAAAATCTTCATTTCTGCTCTAAAATATGGTTTGTGGTTTCTATTCTAAGTTAAATTATGCATGATATATAGCCCAAAGTCGCTGCACTTTTATCTCTAAAACGTGGATATCTACTTCGCTTGAAACTGTTTAATTTTTACTGGAAGTTTTGTCGTTTTAATCAAAGATAGACCCGTCCATTAGAACTAGGTAAACATGCTACAATTTATTCGAGCTAGATAGGTGACAATTTGTTATTTTGTTGGACTATTTCAGGAGTCTAAGAAACTGCAGTTTGCAAGGGCCAATCCCTAACTGGAGCAATATGCCTTCTATTGCATATATGTAAGTCACTATGCACAAGTTTTACTAATCACTATAGACACATCTTTATGGTGCCAAGGTCCATTTCGTTGTTTTAAGTGGCATGTACTTAGCAGAGGTGAATACTAAATGGTGCAGAAGAAGTATTTATCTGATTTACTGATAATTTTCTGGTCATTGAGTTTTGAGTTGGTACACTTGTTAATTGGGGTTCTAATATTGATCATGCTCTCACTTCAGAGATTTGAGCCTAAACCAGCTTAATGGATCGATACCAGCAGGTGGCCTTTCTGAGAATATCACTACCATGTAAGCACTCAATTTCTGATTGCTTTGCTAATTTTTGTGTATTACCTCAAAACCCCGTTTATAATTTTGCTTAAAAAGGGATTACGTTTCCACATTTTGTAATGAATACTTCGAATTCTAATTATGCAGTGATCTATCCTACAACAATCTCAATGGAACTATCCCTGACAGCTTCTCGAGGCTTCCTTCTCTACAGAAATTGTGAGCATTATTTAATTGTATGCTATGGAAATGATCGTGTCTAAGTTTAAGTTCTCTTGCTTCCCAGTTAACTTTCACTTGTCCACTTATTGTCCAAGATTTAGCTCTCTCGTTTCTTACCTTACAAAATATTTGTTGAGTAAAGTATATTTTATTCTGCATCATTCTTCAGGGCGCTGACAAACAATTCACTGAGTGGTTCTGTCCCATCCACCATATGGCAAAGCAGGACTCTTAATGAATTCGAGCGACTATCCTTGTAAGATTGATATGGGAAAGAAAATCCTCTCCATCCCCCTCTCTCCTCCTGGGGAAAAGAATATGCTAGTTCTTGTAAAACTGTTCTTGCACATGAGTTTTTGAGTCTATTATCAGACACTGGATCAGGCTAAAACAAATTGAATACCAGTTTCAATATTTTTATTGGACTCAGAAAACTTTATGTCCTAATAAGAACAGACTGAAAATTTTCTTATCTATTGATAAATTTGTGCTCTTACACATTTTTATATGGCAGGAATTTTCAGAACAATACGATTTCATATATATCTGGCAGTCTTGCCCTCCCTCATAATGTCACCATTAGGTTTGTCCTTTCTCATCGCTTTCATCTGCAATGACATTTTCCTGTTCTAAAATAAAAAAAGGAATGGCTATTTGCATCCACATTTTTTTTTAAGTATATCCCATTCTAAGTTTATTTCTAATAAATTTTTAAAAAAAAATACTATTTACATCCACGTCACATTCCAATTTGGTCGTTATTAAATTCATTCATTTAAATACTATATATCCACTTGAATTTTATATATTTATCCCATTTTAAATACATTCTTATCACTATAGATTCGCCCAATCTCCAAAACCATAAATTCTTAAACCAAATGAATGAAATAAGAATAAAGCTGAACTGATTGAATATTAAATTAACATGAAATAAATTCTGTCTATTGAAGTTTTGAGTATTAGAATGCTTCAATAAACAAAGGCTAAAGAAAGAAAGAAGATGGTTCGATTAAGCAAGCTGAATTTTACTAACTTTATTGGTTACAATTATTCCTCTTTCTTGATTAACTTATAAAACTGCATCATATTCTGTTTTGTATTCTTTGAAATTCGATATGATTACCGGCACAGAAATTATATTTAGGTTCTCTATCTATTATGATTCTAGTTAAGTATAAATGAAAATAAAAACTAGTGGATCAATTTAGAGTTATGTATTTTTATTTAATTTTGTTTACGTCTATTTAAATAAATTTACATAGGATTTAAAATATAACAAAATTTAATTTTTAAAAGTGAATATATATATGAAAAATGTGGATGGAAATAGTGGTACCCAATAAAAAATTGTCCAGATAAAAATAAAAATCCAAGTTGTATTGTCCCAGCAATAACGGGTGATGTAATTTTCTCGTTTGGCCTATGTTATTTATATGACAATTTCAGTCTTCGCGGAAATCCCGTATGCTTAAGGGGCGACCTTGTTCGATTCTGTGGACCCCAAGACGAAGGTTTCGGCAATATCTTCAAAAAAACAAATGGCTGTGTGCGTGTGGCGTCATGCCGACCTCCTTATGAGTTAGTTCCACCATCTCATGATTCACCTTGTTTTTGTGCTATGCCGATGCGGGTAGGATGTCGCTTGAAGAGTCCCGGGTTTTCAGATTTTCGCCCGTACATTAGTAGATTCGAGAAGCACCATAGTGATGGTCTGGAATTGCATAGTTATCAGCTCGTCGTTGATTCGGCTGAATGGCAAGTGGGACATCGACTGAATATGAACCTGAAGATTTTTCCGGCGTTTGTTAGCACCTCAAAATCAAAATCTATATTTAATGATAGCGAGTTTGGACGAATTCGTAGCTTCTTTAGTGGATGGAAAATTCATTATAGCGAAGTGTTTGGACCTCTTGAGCTTCTCTCACTTCCGGATCCTGGTTCGGTTCCTTTCTCATTTGCATGTTTACTTTTGAATTATTTTAATCATGGTAATTGCTTTTTCTTCGTTGGAAGAAAGGGCTTACATCTTCTAAAATAGAATTTTCCAAAAGGAGTTTTTAAGGGAAGATCGTATCCTGCTAAGCTAGTTGCAATGAAAAAAAATGCTCTCTTTGTTGATGCTCATGGGCCAAAGAAAGAAAATTATCATGGTGAATTTGGAGAACCTGTGTTGTGCTTGTTGTTCACACAAAATGGTAATGACTCCTCTGCCACTGTAACTGGTTGAAAACCAGAAAATCAGACACTAACGAAGTTGTGTTCAAATTTTAACTGGTTAAAGCTTTGACCTATGATTTATTCAAATTTCAAGAGAGTATTACTTTTGGGTTGAAAACAAGGCATTTGACTCGTATACCTATTACATATTCTTTGAAGCATGATTATTATGTTTTTGTTCATACTTGGGTAGGACCTTGTGTACTTTCGTCATTGGTATGGATCCCTTAACTACGAAGCATTTTTAATCTGCACAACGTAAGCTCATTTGGCAATTACCTATCTGTAGGCTAACATTGTTCTAAATAGTAATGGAAGTCAAATTTACCTTTGCATAAACTCATTTTCGATATGCTCTTAACTCTTGGCTTTTTGCAGAATCCCCATCTTCGTCTGGCATAAGCAAGGGGGCACTAGCTGGAATCATACTAGGAACAATAGCTGGATCAGTTACCTTAACAGCTGTCGTGGCACTTTTCATCTTCAAAAAGCACATGAAGAAATATCATACAGCTTCAAAACAACGTCGACGTGAGTATTTTACACTTCCTGAAGTATTATTGTGGAATTGGCTTACAAAGAATCCACATCTTAATTTAAATTACTGAATTTGATATTGAGGTGGGCAAAACTCTTTCCCCAATTTATTAAGGAACTTTTATTTTGAAACCAATTTTATTGAAGTGAAAGAAAAATTTCATTTCCCCGGAAAAAGAAAAAAAATAAAAATAAAAACATTTCATTGGGGTATAGCTCAATTTTTTGCACTTCCGTCTACATGTTTTTATATATGCTCGACCATTCAATTGATGTTCATTTTCTACAGAATGCATAAAAAGAATTGGAATGAAGTATTACTGTGGAATTGGCTTACAAAGAATCCACTTCTTAGTTTAAATTACTGAATTTGATATTAAATTGATTGCCCATCCATAATGTCGTATAAGTTAAGGTTTTGTAAGATGAGCAGCATGTAGTGTTTATCACCAGCTGATTGAGGACTATAATTTTCAGTAAATTATTACTGGAGTTGAGTGTAAACCTAAAAGTTGACAGCTTTCAAAATATATTCTCCATTTTTCTAAAGATTTGACTTTCCTTTGGAGTCAGAAATCATTGCTAGAGTTGTTAATGTGTTAACCACACAAAAGAACTACATTAAAATTTACACTGTATTTATAGGAGTAATCAAGAACTATGGCATGACATTTAGCTCTAAAAACAAGGTACACTGCAGAGGATTGCAATAAATGAAGTAAAAGAAACGTAAAAAAGGACCAAATTCATTAATTCTTGATTCATCGATGTTAAAGATTTTAAGTAATATACACACATATATATACATGTTTGATGACCTAAAGAAGGAGAATATTTATTCAACTGTTTGAATATCTAATTGCATTGTATGCAGCATCAAGGATCTTCATCAAAATCGATGGTGTGAAAGATTTCACTTATGGTGAAATGGCACAGGCAACCGATAATTTTGCAGACTCGAGTGTCGTTGGACAAGGAGGTTATGGAAAAGTTTACAAAGCTATTCTTGCTGATGGAACCGTGGTGGCCATAAAACGAGCTCAGGTGGGATCATTACAGGGTGAAAAGGAGTTTCTTACTGAAACAGAACTATTGTCGAGGTTACATCACAGAAACCTCGTGCAATTGATGGGATATTGTGATGAAGAAGGTGAACAGGTACCCAAATAAGATATTTAGTTTATCTACAGTTGGTCAAAGTGAACTTCACATGTTAAATTGGAGTTCCAAGTGTACAGTTCAGTGATTCGATTTTTGATTTCTAGATAAGATCATTCACTTAAAAATATGCCTGTTTGGGTTTGGATTGGAGGTCTTGGCATACCTTCTTTCTCTTTATAAATTTTAAGCTGTGTCTTGATCCTGCTTTATATAATATCAGCTTGGATAAATAACTTAGCTCAAGATGAATCTATTATAAAGGTAGATGCTTGATTACATGATTAGGTGGTAGAGCATGTTTAGCTAAGCTTAAAAGGTTTACTTATAACTAACTAGGTTTTAAAATAACTTAGTTTTATTGGTTACAAGTTGGAATTAAGTAAATTATTATTTTTGAGGTTAGTTAACTGATGTTTAAAGCAGCCGCAGTGCTGACATTAACAGAGAGGGGAAAGATAGAGTAGCTAATAAAGATCGAAAGATTTCTTCCGCTCCCTATAAGAAACAAACTGATAAAAATAAGGGTTTATTGTAGGAAAATCATGTGATTGGATCACAATACAAAGTATTGACATTTCATTTCAAAAGGCTAAATTTTTAAATAGTTTTTCTCTCCTCCATCTTATGTTTACTGTGCTTTTCATTATGCAGATGTTGATCTATGAGTTCATATCTAATGGTACCTTGAGAGATCACATACCTGGTAAAGTGTTCTTTTTCAAATTGACCTTTTGTGTTTATTTCTCAAATTCATGGTCTCTTAGTCTGTCCTTTTGTTGCTTACGAGACTGCAAACCTCTATACTTCTTCAGACTAGATCACACACACACTTTAAATAACATGTAAATTGGGTAATGTGCGACTTACAATTTTGTTTTCTTGTTTCTGTCCTTCAAGCCCACATAATCGTCGTACTGTAATTTAACCCAACTTTTCGTTTCAGGATTACATTTTGATTCCAAAAACGTTCTTAAGCACGTGTTCCTCAAGTTCTTAACGAGTCATTTAAGTATTCTAGCGAGTTCAGAAGTAGAAAAGTAACAGAAAAATTTTACTGATTTAACAAGACTTCAATGTTTGAGATATGCAGGAAAGACCAAATTGCCTTTGAGTTTCACTATGAGAGTAAAAATTGCACTGGATTCAGCCAAAGGCATTCTTTACCTACATACGGAAGCAAATCCTCCAATATTTCATCGGGATATCAAGTCAACCAACATATTATTGGACCCTAAGTTTATCGCAAAGGTTGCTGATTTTTGACTGTCACGGTTAGCTCCAGTTCCTGAGCTTGAAGGAGGCGTCCTTCTTATGTATCAACAGTATATTTATTCGAAAATGCAGCATCCAGTTGTTATTTCCTTATTTTCGTTTTCCAATTGCAATATTGTGATGAACAAAATGAATTCACGCGTCATTCAAAAATGTGGATGCTTTATCACTGCAGGGATATCTTGATCCAGAGTATTTTTTATCGCACAAATTGATGGACAAAAGTGATGTTTACAGCCTTGGTGTTGTCTTTCTCGAATTGTTGACAGGGATGCACCCAATTTCACATGGGAAAAACATTGTTCGGGGGGTGATATATTATTGCAATCCATTTTTCTCTTAGTTCACTAGAATAAAGAACATCAGAAATATAAATTTGTCAGTTGTACTAGTTACTAGTTTATAAGTGTTATATGCTTTCTCATTGTTGTTCTCTTTAATGTTTTAAAACCCAGCTTGGAAACTTGGAAGAGGTAAAGAGTCGAGGGTTAAAGAGTTTAATGGCTATCAAATTGGATGTCATTCACAATTAATTAACGTTTTATGATGTTTAATGGCAATCAAATATGATGTCAGTAGTTAATTTTCAACAATATGAAAACAAAACCAAATATTAAGGTTTTATGATGTCAATGTTCATAACATAGCATGATTTATTTCAATGTCCGTCCTACAAAATATTCGTTTTTCCCGCAAAATAAAAATAAGAAATAAAAAATTGCTGCTAAAAGTTTCATGCTTAATATTTGTCCTATCTGTGCAGGTCAACATTGCATATCGTTCGAGTATTATATTTTCTATCATCGATGAAGGAATGGGATCTTATCCCTCCGAATGCGTGGAGAAATTCATAAATTTGGCTCTTAAGTACTGTCAAGACGAGATAGATTCCCAACCTTCAATGGCAGAAGTGGTTAGAGAACTCGAGAACATATGGCTCATGATTCCTGAGTCGGACACCAAGATATCTGAATCCATAGACATTGATCCCAAAAAGGATATCACTCCGCCATCTTCATCTAATAAACTAATTCATCCATACGTTTCACAAGATATCTCAAGCAGTGATCTTGTCAGTGGAGTTATTCCCACAATTACACCGAGGTGATGATACAAATTCAGTTCACATTTTTTGTCGATAAACTATACCTTTTCCATTAGTGGTAAATTGACATAATTCTTTAGTCATTCTATATCGTTTGTATTGTGAGCTATTTAGTGTTTTTTAGTAATACCTATGTACGTACATGATAGCTTGGATTTAAATCGTTGTTATTTTCTTGGCTTCGACACATAAATAGTAGCTGATTTTGGTCTAATATGCCGAAGCTACATAGCTCAAATGTGGAAAGATTCAAGGATAAACATCTATATATTTTAATTCTGGACATGATCAAGGCAAATGTTACCTGGGATATCAGATGGGCTGTTTAGATAGCGTCAAGATCCTCAAATCCTAGAGAAGAATTAAAAAGAAAAGGTTAAATTCTAAACTAATGAATTTCTTGAAAGACATTGCCATTCACAAAAAACTTGATCATTGTCTACTGTGAGGGATTACAAATTTTGTTGCTACTATTGATTTCATATGTGAAATGCCTGTGTATATAGTAAAGAACTAAGTGTTTTTTGTTTCCACCGAATGCTTGTCGTCCAGACTTCCCCTTTGAATCACCATTTAGCGGGGCTACTAGGACTTGGGTCTCTCTCTTGGGTGGGGCATCAAGTACATGTATCTTTACCGATTAACCAAATTTTCACTTATCGATCTTGGCCCAAAAAAGTGATCGACCAGGGCCCTATTGATGAATGAAAGAAAGGGTTTATGAGCTCTCAAATTGTTTTTTGTTGTCTAAAAGCGTCTCGTAGCGAGCATCTTCATAACCTTTGGCACTACTTTCATATGCCATTTATTACCAAATATATCTTCATCGATCCTAAAATCATAAAGAATTGTAATGGTCAATTGAAAGACAAAAATTTGGTTGTCATTAAAAATTTGAAAGTCAAAAAATGCCCTTTTAAGCACGGTCATACATTATGTAAATGGTTGAAGTTAAGAAAATGGTTACGAAATCAATGATGAATATAGAAAATAAAATAAATTTGTGTTTGGAATACTTACTGGAATTATAATTATTAGCTGGAAAGAAAGATGAATGAATTTAGCCCTTGTTTGAGTTCAATTTTCTAGTAAACTCATTTTCAAAAACACATCCTCCCAATAAAATAATTTTACACGTAACTCATAAAATTTTCATAATTTTTAACATAACATTATCCAAAAATCACTATTACACAACTCATTTTTCACAATTAAAAGGGGCTCAAATTTTGGGGGTGGGGAGAGGAAGGTGAAAGCGCCACTTTTACGAAATTCAAAAGGTTTGTCATTTCGAGAATGTAGGAACCATTAATTTATAATGTTGCTTGCCTCGACCCATATGGTATGGTCAAAGTTCTAAATACACAAGGCATGAAGGTCAAGCTTTAACTCTTACAAGTTAAGGCATAATAATTGTTTTAAGTAGGTAAATACATAAATAACGCAAACTTTGAAAATTTATAAGAAAATGCCAAGTTATTAACAAAAACGTAATTTCAAAATTATAAATACCTTAATCCAATAATGCTTCATTATGGACTGGGTAGGTTGAATTTTTGTTGGACTTATTTCATTTTTAAGTTTTAATAATGGTTAAACATTTTGCTTGTTTGAACTTTAAAATAAGAAAAAATAATTTGTCAAACAAAATGGCTCGCACCTTTTCCGCATAAGCTCACCGCTGGCCATCAACGTAAAGCGAACCGTCTCTTATTAGAAGCCATAAAATTCAAATAAGTAGAACTCAGCCATCATGGATGTATTAGCAACTAGATATGCTTAAGCCCATGCTTGGTTCTGAAAGGTTGTGGCACAATGATGCAATTGTGTGAGTTGACCAGCTGACTTTTCTTTGTTGATTTTAAAGTGTTAGCTGGTCCCTTAAAAATGCAATTTCAATTTATAAAACCGTGTTTCTTCTAATGGACGCTCATGATGATGCCATGTGTCAACCCCATATCCATTGAATGGCTGACCTTTTGATGACTCATATAAAAGGGAGTCTCAGGGTTGAGACGCATGATTTTTCTGGTTTTTCTAGAGCCTTCTCTCTACACTCTGGCCGTTCGAGTTCATCTTCTTCTTCTCTCTGAAAAATCAAAGATCCTATTTGATTTTCAACACTTTCTCAGATTTGTTTTTGTAATCTTGAGTGATTCTCTCTGAGAAGTGTTGTGTGTTTTTGTGTGAACCAATTTTTCTAAAGTCAGAAGATTGAATCTTCTGTGATCTTGGGTGATTCTGGTCTGAGTGCGAAAACATCCTAATTTCTAAGCCTTGGTGTGTGATCAACACTCGCAGTGGACTTCCTGGAAAAAATAACACATATATTTTGCGAGATTCCTCGAATTGTTACTGCCTTAGGGCATTTTAATGAGATCCCTTTTTTCTTGTGTTTCAATCTTTTATACTGCACATTTTATTGTTGTTAAATCTAATATTGTTGGAACCTCCTCTTTACAGTGGTATCAGAGCGGTTGGACGGAGGTTCTTGGCTCTGATCTGTGTAGATCTGAAACTGCGACACTCGATTTTAGCTAACCTTTGTTATTCCTTGAAACCCTATTGAAGGGATCTGGTGAGATTGTTCCGGTTTTTCAATTAACATTAAATATTAATTGTATAAGCACTTTAAGCTTGCTGAATTTGTGTTTTAAGCCCTAGGTCTGCGACTGGCTGAGTAATTCCTTTGTCCAGAAACCCTAGAGTTGTTTGGAATCTGAGGGTTACCTTGACTTAAGTCAAAGGTCTCGATATTCATATACTGCTGTGATATTTTTTAGTGTATAATCTCGGTGCTCGCTACTTAAATGTGATTTGTGTTGAGAAAAACACGCTGTGACTCCAAGATTTTGAACAATTCCTGCAAAATAACTGAAGTTCAAAACAACTTGTGATTACTGTATATTCATGTCCCCTTTGTGGTGATACTTGAATTAATTTTAAGTTGTAAGGATCTGTGAAGTGTCTACCTGATCTGCATATAGTGAGTCTGCATTCAAAATTTTCAAAAATGATGACAAATACAAAATTTGAATTAGATATTTTTAATGGCAAAGGAGACTTCAGTTTCTGGCGCCAGAAAATGAGGGTAATTTTGTTACAACAACAATGTGCTAAAGTTATTGATGAAACATGGCCTGATGATTTAGAAAAAACCAAGAGAATTGAACTTGATGAAACTACCTGGAGTTCAATTTTTCTGCATTTATCTGACAATGTACTTAGAGAAATTGGTGAAACTACGACTGCTGCTGAGTTGTGGAAA